TGGTTGATGGTGGTCTGTCGTGGTTGGTAGTGGTGATGGTGGTTGATGGTGGTTGATGGTGGTCGTGGTCGATAGTGGTTGATGGTGGTCTGTCGTGGTTGGTAGTGGTTGATGGTGGTTGATGGTGGTCGTGGTTGGTAGTGGTTGATGGTGGTTGATGGTGGTTGATGGTGGCCGTGGTTGATCGTGGTAGATCGTGGTAGTGGTTGGTTGTGGTTGATCGTGGTAGTGGTTGGTTGTGGTTCGTTGTGGTTGATGGTGGTTGATGGTGGTCATGGTTGTGGTTGGTAGTGGTTGTGGTTGATGGTGGTTGATGGTGGTCGTGGTTGATGGTGGTTGGTTGTGGTAGTGGTTGATGGTGGTTGATGGGTTGGTTGTGGTAGTGGTTGATGGTGGTTGATGGTGGTCGTGGTTGATGGTGGTTGGTTGTGGTAGTGGTTGATGGTGGTTGATGGTGGTCGTGGTTGATGGTGGTCGTGGTTGATGGTGGTTGATGATGGTCATGGTTGTGGTTGGTAGTGGTTGTGGTTGATGGTGGTCATGGTTGTGGTTGATGGTGGTTGATGGTGGATCGTGGTTGATGGTGGTTGATGATGGTTGATGGTGGTTGATGGTGGTTGATGATGGTTGATGGTGGTTGATGGTGGTTGATGGTGGTGGTGGTTGATGGTGGTTGATGGTGGTTGATGGTGGTCATGGTTGTGGTTGGTAGTGGTTGTGGTTGATGGTGGTTGATGGTGGTCATGGTTGTGGTTGGTAGTGGTTGTGGTTGATGGTGGTTGATGGTGGTTGATGGTGGTCATGGTTGTGGTTGGTAGTGGTTGTGGGTGGTTGATGGTGGTTGATGGTGGTCATGGTTGTGGTTGGTAGTGGTTGTGGTTGATGGTGGTTGATGGTGGTCATGGTTGTGGTTGGTGGTGGTTGTGGTTGATGGTGGTTGATGGTGGTCATGGTTGTGGTTGGTAGTGGTCGTGGTTGATGGTGGTTGATGGTGGTTGATGGTGGTTGATGGTGGTTGTGGTTGGTAGTGGTCGTAGTTGATGGTGGTTGGTTGTGGTAGTGGTTGATGGTGGTTGATGGTGGTCGTGGTTGATGGTGGTTGATTGTGGTTGTGGTTGATGGTGGTTGATGGTGGTTGGTTGTGGTAGTGGTTGATGGTGGTTGGTTGTGGTAGTGGTTGATGGTGGTTGATTGTGGTAGTGGTTGATGGTGCTTGATGGTCGTTGATGGCGGTCGTGGTCATGTCCACGCAGCTCGCGCTACGGCCACTGGCACGAGTCGCGTGGCGCCTCCGAGTACCGCAGCGGCCCCCGCCTCATCGTTCTTTGTGGGCGGCGTGGGCCTCAGCGAGACGCGCAGCGCCTTCGAGGTGTCGCAGGGTGGCACCAAGTGGGAGGTCGTCGTCGGTGAGCGGGGAGACGCGCCGCCCACAACACGCGCCCACGGGACTCGCCCAGGGACTCGGACACTCACCGACACTCACCGAGACTCACCGACACTCACCGACGGGACTCGCCGACACTCGCCGAGACTCACCGACGGGACTCGCGGACACTCACCGAGGACTCACCGACACTCACTGAGACTCACCGACGGGACTCGACCGAGGGACTCGGACACTCACCGAGACTCACCGACACTCACCGACGGGACTCCCCGACACTCACCTAAGACTCACAGACGGGACTCGCCGACACTCACCTAAGACTCACCGACACTCACCTAAGACTCACCGACACTCACCTAAGACTCACCGACACTCACCAATACTCACCAATACTCACCGACACTCGCCGGGACTCGCTGAGGGACTCACACAACACTCACCTAAGACTCACCGACACTCACCTAAGACTCACCGACACTCACTCACTCGCTGACACTCACCTAAGACTCGGCGACTCGACGGGACTCGCCGACACTCACCGTCATGCTCACCATCACGCTCACCGCTCTCAACGTCCTCACCGTCCCACCCTCACCGTCTTTGTCCTCACCACGCCCTCATCGTCACCCTCACCCTCACCGCCCTCACCCTCACCCACCGCCCTCACCCTCACCGTGCCCCTGGCCGTGCGTGTGCCCCCGCAGGCTCCACCCACCTGCTGACTCCACAGCGGTTCCTCTCCGACCTCCGCCACCCGGACTTCCGCCAGGGGTCACGCGTCTCCTTCGTCGGGGCCGGAGCCCCCGACAGCTGAAGCCCCCCCCCCAGACATCTCCCTCCCACCACCACCTCCACGACCCACCCTGACACCCAGACACCCTGACACACCACCCCAGGACCCCCGCGTCACTACCCCCCTGACCTCTTCCCCCGTGTCACGACCCCCCCCCCCCCGTGATCCCGAGCGCCGCCCGGCACCGCACGCTGCTGAGTGGAAGTGAGGCCTCGCCGTCGTCACCGCCGTCGTCACCGTCACGGCACCGTGCGCGCCACACACATGTTGGAGAATAAAGCCGTTGACGGCGTCGTCGTCGTGACGTCCTCGGCGGCGTCATCGGCGTCGTCATCGTGACGTCGTCTGCAGCGTCGTCATCGGCGTCGTCATCGTGACGTCGTCTGCAGCGACGTCATCGTGACGTCGTCATCGTGACGTCGGCGTCGTCATCGTGACGTCGTCGGCGGCGTCTTTGTTGCGACTTACTACTGCTACCATCATCACTACGAACACCATCATCGTCATCATTACTACTGCTACCATCATCACTACGAACACCATCATCACCATCACCACCATCCTCATCATCACCATCATCGTCATCATTACTACTGCTACCATCATCACTACGAACACCATCATCACCATCATCGTCATCATTACTACTGCTACCATCATCACTACGAACACCATCATCACCACCATCGTCATCATTACTACTGCTACCATCATCACTACGAACACCATCATCACCACCATCGTCATCATTACTACTGCTACCATCATCACTACGAACACCATCATCACCACCATCCTCGTCACCACCATCATCGTCATCATTACTACTGCTACCATCATCACTACGAACACCATCATTACCATCATCGTCATCATTACTACTGCTACCATCATCACTACTAACACCATCATCACCACCATCCTCGTCACCACCATCATCGTCATCATTACTACTGCTACCATCATCACTACGAACACCATCATCACCATCACCACCATCCTCATCATCACCATCATCGTCGTCATCATTACTACTGCTACCATCATCACTACGAACACCATCATCACCATCATCGTCATCATTACTACTGCTACCATCATCACTACGAACACCATCATCACCACCATCGTCATCATTACTACTGCTACCATCATCACTACGAACACCATCATCACCACCATCCTCGTCACCACCATCATCGTCATCATTACTACTGCTACCATCATCACTACGAACACCATCATTACCATCATCGTCATCATTACTACTGCTACCATCATCACTACTAACACCATCATCACCACCATCCTCGTCACCACCATCATCGTCATCATTACTACTGCTACCATCATCACTACGAACACCATCACCACCATCCTCATCACCATCATCATCGTCATCATTACTACTGCTACCATCATTACTGCTAACACCACCATCATCGTCATCATTAATACTGCTACCATTGCCACCATCACCACCATCATCATTACTACCATCATCATCATCACCACCACTATCATCGTTACTACTACCACCATCATCATCATCACCACACCAGCATCACCATCACCACCACCATCATCATTGTAGAGGTCATCACCGTCTTTCGTGTTTCGTTCACCGATGAGGTGTATGTCTGTGTGTGGGTGTCTGTGTGTCTCTGTGGGTCTGTGTCTGTGTGTTTGTGTGTCTGTGTCTGTGTGTGTCTGTGTGTCTGTGGGTGTCTGTGTCTGTGTGTGGGTGTCTGTGTGTTTGTGTGTGGGTATCTGTGTGTCTGTGTTTGTGTGTGGGTGTCTGTGTGTCTGTGTGGGTGTCTGTGTATCCGTGTGGGTGTCTGTGTGTGTGTCTGTGTGGGTTACTGTGTGTTTGTGTGTGTCTGTGTGTGTGTGTTCACGCCTGTGTGTGTATGTACCCACGTCTGTGTGTGTGTGTGTACCCACGTCTGTGTGTGTGTGTACCCACGTGTGTGTGTGTACCCACGTCTTTTTGTGTGTGTACCCACATCTGTGTGTACCCACATCTGTGTGTGTGTGTGTACCCACGTCTGTGTGTGTGTGTACCCACGTCTGTCTGTGTGTGTGTGTACCCACGTCTGTGTGTGTGTGTGTACCCACGTCTGTCTGTGTGTGTGTGAGCTGTGGCGTAGTGGTTAGCGCTACGCTGCGCTCCGAACCCGACGACCCGAGTTCGATTCCCGCTCACGGCCAACACAAGTGACGATTATCTGAACCGGTCCTGGGCCTCCCCTAGGTCGACTCAGCCTCGAATGAGTACCTGATACGGTGTGTAGTAAACATCGCCGCTGGGGAGACAAAGGCGGCCGGGCGTGGTGCTGGCCACCCACCCCCTCGAGTGCCGTGCCGGCCTTCATAGGTGCTCGCTAACAGCACTTGCCCCGAAAAGTTTGCTAAAGGCTATACGGGGGATCTTTGTCTTTATGTGTTTGCGTACACCTTTGCATGCGTGTGTTGTGTGTGCGCGCGCGCGCGCGCGTTTCGGCATGAGTGTGTCGTGCGTACACACGTGTATGTGTGTCGCGTGTGTAATATGTGTGTAGGTGTGTGTATGTGTGTGTGTCTGTGTGTGTATATGTGTGTATGTGTGTGTGTGCATGTGTGTGCGTGTATGTGTGTGTGTAGGTGTGTGTGTGTATGTGTGTGTGTATGTGTGTGTGTATGTGTGTATGTGTGTGCACGTGCGCGTGCTGCATGCGCCGAGGCGGTGCCGATGGTCTCTCCCGCGTGCCCCCCCCCCCCCCCGTGTGCCCCCCCCCCCCCGAGCTATGCACGCGCGAGTCGCCTCGTGTCGTCGTCGTCGTCGTGGTGATCGTCGTGGTCGTCGTCGTGTTTCGTGTCCCCCTCCTCCTCCTCCTCGTCGTGTCTCGTCGTGAGCCAGGGCGCATGCAGCACGAGCCCTGCTGTGACGTCAGTGTCGCCGCCGCCGCCGTCCAAAAGCCGTCGACGATTTCCACTTTGTGTTGACTGTCCCCAGGCAGGTCCCGCGCCGAGCCACGACCGCTCGCAGGCGACCTCGTGAAAAGGAGCCCCGTGATACGAATGCGCGTTGGTTATACGAAACTCGTGGAGACGCACAGAGACCCAGAGACTTTGTGTAGAACCACAGAGACCCACAGAGACCCCAAAGACTCTGTGTAGAACCATAGAGACCCACAGAGACCCACAGAGACCCAGAGACTCTGTGTAGAACCAGAGACCCACAGAGACCTTGTGTAGAACCAGAGACACAGAAACCCACAGACTTTGTGTAGAACCATAGAGACCCACAGAGACCCAGAGACTCTGTGTAGAACCATAGAGACCCACAGAGACCCAGAGACTTTGTGTAGAACCAGAGACCCACAGAGACCCACAGAGACCCATAGACTAATGTAGAACCATAGAGACTCACAGAGACCCACAGAGATTTTGTGTAGAACCATAGAGACCCACAGAGACCCACAGACTTTGTGTAGAACCATAGAAACTCACAGAGACCCATAGACTTTGTGTAGAACCATAGAGACCCACGGAGACCCAGAGACTCTGTGTAGAACCATAGAGACCCACAGAGACTTCGTGTAGAACCAGAGACCCACAGAGATTCACAGAGACTGTGTAGAACCAGAGACACACAGAGACCCAGAGACTTTGTGTAGAACCATAGAGACCCACACAGACCCAGATACTCTGTGTAGAACCAGAGACCCGCAGAAACCCACAGAGACCCACAGAGACCCAGATATACTTTGTGTAGAACCAGAGACCCACAGAGACCCAGAGAGACTTTGTGTAGAACCAGAGACCCACAGAGACTTTGTGTAGAACCATAGAGACCCAGAGAGACCCATATTAACACTAAACTATTATTGTTTTACCAGGTAAGGCCCACTTTAGCTATAACGCCCTTGTTCAATAACCACCTGGCCACAAATGAGGGCAAAACGAATTGACGTATCGTGTGTCAATGTACAGCAGCCAAATCCTCTAAACGTGCGTGTGGTGTTTCTCAAAGTGGAGGGGGGAAACCCGGAGGACCCAGGGAGAACACGCAAACTCCAAATATACAACAGGCGCTGTCAGGGTCGGGGTCGAACGCACGACCTCCTGCAGACCAGGCGAGGGAGTTAACATCTCCCAGCCGCCGTGGCGAGGTCCTTCAGCTCGGCCCCGGCCCCCTGACCCTCCAGACTGCCTCAACCCTCGCCCTGACGCCAGCCTCGACGTCAAACCCGGCCCCTGACCCCCTACACCCAGGGCACAATACAACGCAGAGCCATAGCCCTGAACCCACACCCTGCCCCTGTCCCTGCTGCGGCGGCGGCGTGGCTGCGAGTGACTTAGCTGTGTGACTTGTTCCCGCTGGTGGTGAGAGTGTAGACTTCAAGATGTCGCGTTCCCGTGGCGATGAGACCGTTCCGATGCCGATAGCGACGGTAATTTGGCACATTGCACGCTGACTGCCCCTACTGGACCCAGTAAAACCCCCTTACTCGGCCTCACGGGCACCGCGCCACGACTCGTGTGATTCATTGTCGTGGCTTTGTGAGAGGGGCGGGGGGGCGACGTGATGACTCGAGACCGCGACACCTCTTGATGAGCACGCCTGGGCTACGCACGGGACAACACGGACAGACATACACCCCTCGGAGCGATTGTGAGTGGGACCCCTGGGAGGGATTGTAAGTGGGAGCTCTGGGAGGGATTGTAAGTGGGAGCTCTGGGAGGGATTGTAAGTGGGATGCATGGGAGGGATTGTAAGTGGGAGCTCTGGGAGGGATTGTAAGTGGGAGCTCTGGGAGGGATTGTAAGTGGGAGCTCTGGGAGGGATTGTTAGTGGGATGCATGGGAGGGATTGTAAGTGGGATGCATGGGAGGGATTGTAAGTGGGAGCTCTGGGAGGGATTGTAAGTGGGAGCTCTGGGAGGGATTGTGAGTGGGATGCATGGGAGGGATTGTAAGTGGGAGCTCTGGGAGGGATTGCAAGTGGGAGCTCTGGGAGGGATTGTGAGTGGGACAACCCCTAAC